TCTGTTCCTGGTTCTGTTCCTGGTTCTGTTCCTGGTTCTGTTCTTGGTTCTGTTCCTGGTTCTGTTCCTGGTTCTGTTCCTGGTTCTGTTCCTGGCTCTGTTCCTGGTACTGTATCTGGTCCTGGTTCTCTTCCGGTGCCTTTATCTTTTTTTTCTTCCGTCTCCTTGTCGACGTGGCCTTGAATGAAGCGTCTATAGTGTTGCTCGGCATACTGGTACTGGCACGGGTACTGATACAGGTCCGGGTACTGGACGTGTGATTTGCAGAGACACAGACACTGGCATCTGTTCCTTTGTCTATTTCGACATCGATATCGAGTTCGATTCCGATTTCGTCATATCATATCATATCATACCTGACGCGTGTCTGGCTATTGCTGCCGTTTGCAGTGAGTCTCTTGTACCTCGACTCGGGCTTCTGTTTCGAAGTACTGGTAGAGAGACGGATAGACTTGGTCAGTATATTTCCGACGGCTATGGTGAGTAGAGAGGCGGACAGACTTGGTAGTATATTTCCGACTGACTAGGTGCCTCTGGTTTGTTCTTGAGACAGCGGAAGGCTTGGGACAGCGGAAGAGGAAGAGGAGGGAGAGCAGCAGTTTGCACTCAGTCTAGTACTGGTGAAGTACTGTGTCGTGTCGTTATATATTATTTAAGCTGATGGGAGTACACCAGAAATGAGAGATGAGCAATGAGAGATGAGAAGTAGGACACCCTAGATGAACTTATCATAAGTATGAGGATGTGAGGGTGAATTTATCATAAGTATGAGGTGGGCAGGGAGAAGGGGAAGCGAGGTATTCCCCTGGCCATGGAGTTCAAGGTTCTCTTTTCGTCCGGTAGAGGGTAGAAGGCAGAAGGTAGAGTTTGTTGCCCAGGGCAAACTTAGAGGAGTCAGAGTCCTCCGTCTACTAAGTCAAATGCCATTCTCAAATAGGGATTCCTCTTCTATGCTTGTTTGTTACGTGGTACAGTCACTCACTCGGGCAAACAGACCAACTTGCGATGACTTGACTGGACTGGACTTGACTGGACAAACTTATCGCCACCGTCACCGTCGCTGTCAGTCACCGTCGCTGTCAGTCACCGTCGCTGTCAGTCACCGTCGCTGGTACTGTTACTGTTACTGCTGCTGTCTGACTGAACCGATGGAAACGCTTCACTTCGACCAACGAAGCCACATTCTGAAGATATTCATATCTGAACCAGCAGTACCTGTCACGTTTCACCAAAACTATTACCCCAAGACACCAAAAGGACAAAGTAATTACTTCACTCGTGAATTAGCCACTTGGTGTATATAACCGTCAGAATACCTCTCTAGCTAGCTAGCCGTCTAGATATCTCAGCATCGCCACTATACACGGCATGCAGTGCTAGCAATTAGAGGCAGTATGTACGAGTACAACAATATGTAATCTATCCTGGGAGATTTATTTGTTTGTCAAGATAAACGCCCGTTGATAGCAGGGTTCGCCTCGTCATAGATCTCTTCAGACTTAAGACTTAAGACTTTAGACTTCACCGTGGTCGTCATCTTTCCCCCTTGCCCTTGACCTTGCTCCAGTTTACATGATCATACAGCATGCGTATTTAGATGTCCTGTATTCTTGGGCACGGTCACGCTCAGTGTGAGGGTAAGGGTAAAGGTCGTGGCCATGGCCATAACTAGATTCAGAAAACAGTCTCGGCTCGCTGTGGATAGACCATGTCGTCGTCTTGAGGATGCCTTGGCCGTTCCAAGGGATCGCCGCAGGGGTGTCTCTTTCATCGTACCATCTGTCCATCGTCCGAGATCGAGAAAACCTTTATATGAAGATTGCTGGCTGCGAGGGTCCTGTTAACTAGGGTTCCGAAGTGTCTAAGAATGCGATGGTTCTCAGACTGTCCAAGGAGGGAGGTGATTGGAAAGCGAAAGGGGGATTTAGTTCACTGTCTTTTCCGTGGCTTCGAGAATCGAGAGACGATTCGATTAGATCCTGATCCTGATCATTCCTGGACGTGCCAGGTAAGAGACAAGACAAGACGAAAAGAAAGAGAGAGTCAACAGAAAGCGTAGAGACTCGACAGAAGACAGAGTTTAAATAAAAGGAGAGAACCAAAAGAATAGAGAGAGAATCGACAGAATAGAGAGAGAATCAATAGAAAGGGTGAGGAAGAGAAGAAGATAGAAAAAGATCTCTTAAGGGCTTTAGGAGGCATATCACTAAAATCAAGAAACCGTTTCCCTCTTCTCTTCTCATCACTTGTCATTTCACTTATACCGTTTACCTTTTTCACGCCTATGCCTACCGTCACCTCGCCAAATGGCCATCGTGTTAAGTTATGTCGTCGTGTAGGGGCAGGACCAGGTATGATCACGGTTGTTGTAGTTCTCTTCTTATCATATATTGTTAGCGGTCACTGGTATCCGGTCGACATCACAGGTACAGATACAGATATAGGCATAGTCATAGGCACACAGATATAGGCATAGTCATAGGTACAGATATAGGCATAGTCATAGGTACAGATATAGGCATAGGCACACCATGGCAATAGCAATGATCGGGAACCCCAGTCCTAGTTCTCGGTACGAACAGAACAGAAAAACAGATAGATACAAGCACTAATGACAAGACAAACCTTGTTGCCTTGTCGTAAGGCTTCGCAGATCAGCAAAACCAAGCCCAAGCCGAAACCCAAACCCAAACCAAACCAAAGGAAAGGAGCAAGGGAGCGAGTAAGTGAAGTGTTCTCGTGGCCATGCCATCAACCATCACCATCAGCCATCACCAGCGTTTCATTCCGTCGCCGTCACCGTCGCCATCACCTTAATTGATCATTAGCGTCCTCCATCTCACTCACGCCTGTCCTGACTGCGCAGCTGCTGCCTCTGGCCTCCAGAAATCTTTGTTATATTGTCCACGGTCTCTCCACTTCTCTCCGTCCATGTCCCTATCACGCTCGGCGGATCTGGAATCTGCCCTCTCACAAGGTAGGTCTGTTCTTCTCCCTATTACGCTCGGAGAATCTGTAGTCAGTCCCTTTACAAGGTAGGTCTGTTCTTCTCCCCTGTCCCTCTGCAAGGCAGGTCTGTTCTCCCCAAACCATATCACGACCTCTGGGATATGACATATCCCGATCCTGATACCAGGTCTGATACCATGTCTGATGCCAATATCCATCTCTCGCCTCTCCCTCCGCCCCCCGCCTCCGCAGTGATTAGCGACGTGGTAGTAGCTCCAAACCAGTTGAAACTAGCTTGTGAAGCAGGCTGATCACTCCGACTCCGACTGCGACTGCGATGACGCCCGACACGGACACAGGAGGACGATCCATACCATACAGAATGCCAGCTTGGCCCACGAGGCTGTTGCTGTTGCTGTCGTTGTCGTCGCAGCATAAGCTGATGTTGGTGCTGATGCTGATGTTGGTGCTGGTGCTGGTGTTGGTGCTGATGTTGGTGCTGATGTTGGTGCTGATGTTGGTGCTGATGTTGGTGCTGATGTTGGTGCTGGTGCTGGTGCTGGATTTGCAGGCTCTGGCCCTGACGAGAGGACGAGCTCCGGCAACTATGAGGACCGTGGTGGTGATAGTTGCCGACCAGCCTGCGTTTGGTCGGAGACGGACTGCGACCTCGTATCAGAGAAGCACTGGCACTCGGGTTTCTCGAAGCCGAACGAAAGTCAGACGTTAATGTCAACGACGGAAGAGGACGAATCTTCACCGGCGAAAGGCGTCGTTGCCTGACCCAAGCTGGCGATGGTGGCTGAATATGGATACGATGCTGGGCCACGAGCGATGGCGGTGGCGATGGTCGCCTAATATGGATACGATGCCGGGCCACGAGCAATGGCGATGGCGATGGTGATGGCGATGGTGATGGCGATGGTGATGGTGATGGCGGTGGTGATGGCGACATTGGTCTTAGACACGTTGCGATGATTCTGTCCAAGTCTCACGGTATTCTAGTCTCAGCATATCAACGCAGCCCCTTACGGTAATATTCGAGAGATGAATATGTCACAGACCAAGACCGAACCGATTCTCAGCAGGCCAGTTCGATGCAGTACACTGCAGTGGGTGGTGGTATTTCCCCTGAAAACTGTACTCCGTAATCGACGGGATAGATTGGATTGGATTGTGTGGCTGCTGACGGGTTGCGACAATGACTTGGTTAATTGAGTGATTGACAATGATAATGACTTGGTTATTAAGTGATTCAGAAGTTCGCTGTGCTGTGCCATAACAAATGTCGATTGAAGATCTTCAGACCTCTGACATGCGCCGAGATGAGTCCGCAAAAGAGAGAATGGAAAGTAGAAGAACGAACCACAGAGACCAGTTTCAAGGGCTCCTGAGCTCACCCGTTGGCGACGGTGATAGTGACAGTGACATCTGGACGCGTTTGGTCTGGTCTGGTGAGACGCAAAGCTAGAGGAAGTCTTGCCAACGAGGAACAAGATCTTGAAGGAAGGAATTGATGTAGGCGTACGGTTGGCCCGGCGTGGTCGAAGCCCTGATAAGACTTGGAACTTCGGACGGGATCTAGGGCCAGGGAATAAAAACAGAGAAAGAGAAATAATACGAGGTCAAAGACAGAGAAACAATACCAGGGCAAAGACACTGAGGGAGCATTCCTCTGCAACAATTTCAACAGCAAACAGAGGACAGCTCAGCTTCACAGACAACAAGGCAGTATCACAGAGACAGCTCAGCTCACAGACAACAAGGCGGGATCAATGAAAACAGGGCCGCGTCGACGCCATTAGCTAATGCTTCATCTTCATTCCCGGCTAGAGTGATAACGCCTATTTTCTGCCTCAACCCTCCTCAACGGAGTCCCACTTCGAGTCATCAAAGCCCCGCATCTTCAAACGAAATCTCTGAAGATATGCTGACTGCAACAAGAAGAAAGCATCATCGTACTGGCGCAGGGACCAGCTGACCCGAGTGCTCTTCTCATTGATGGTACTTGCCGCACATCTATCTGGCCCCGCGTACGGGGATGGTGTAGAGCAGGACCCGTTCAAATGAGGAGGCTCGTCGTGGGAACGTCATTTGAGGCATGGGAGACCTCTATCTCTTTCTGTGTAAAAGAGCACATATTCAGTGACCAGGCGACTGTCCCTGTGAGCCTTCCCACTTGCTCGCCAGGCTGAACGTTGTTCATGCATACCTGGTGCAGCTCATGTGGAGGAGATGATGCGACGAAAGCTGGAGGGTGTTTTATGCAGAAGCATTTTCCCGACACTCCATGCTATGTCGTAATGATGGTAGCCACCGGCAATTGAGATACTCAGCTTCCACTGTACTGATAAATACAGCCCTCACAACTGTGCCTGTCTCTTCAGCCTCTGCAATTCCCTGCAAATGCCCTCCAACTCGGCCTCAGAGACAACACCGTCCTCGACCTTCTTCTCCAGACTTGGGATCAAGGCTTTCGCTTCGTCCGAGCACGTCGGCACCAAGCTTCCCAGCTGACTTTTCTCAAAGCGTTCCAGGTTGTCACCGTAAGAATTGATGATTCCCTCGACTTGTTGCGCCTCGGCAAGCTCTTTGAAGACGGCAAAGATTTCAAGGTAGTCCCGCGTCTTCGCCGTGGTTTCGGTCTCCTCGTAGCGCCCGCCTCGTGCCGCGCGAGTGGCGAGGGTCTTTTGCAAGATGATTCTAGCCTCCGACAGGTTGAGCGTGACTTCGTTCTGGAACTCGCCGAGTTTGAGGACTGCGCCGGCTTCGAGATCGGACGTGGCTGTAGGCGGAAAGCGAGAAGGCGCAGCGTGAGGCATGTTGGCGTTAGGCGGCGACGGGAGGGAGATCTTTGTGGTAGCGATGAAGGCGATGAGTTAGAGGAGTGGATTAAACCGTGGCGTCGACCTTGTGTCGACGTTGATGTGATGCCGCCATGGGGAGTGGGAATCATCCAAGCGCAGTCTTGGCGAGCTCACGTGCGACTCACCGTGACCACGCCGCTTTTATACAAACTCCCCTCTCTCTTACCTGGCTAGGTGCCTGGTACACCAGTTTAGGGACTATATCACGACGACAAGAACCATCATGCACGACAGACCAAAGCAGAATCTTACGAGCAAGGTCGCGATATGCTTAAGCCCTTTGATCCCAGCGTATCATACGACTAAGGGAACGGTGCTACGGGAGTTATCCAAGGTAACCCGACATACCCCGGACTTCGGTCGGAATAAAACCTAAAGCGTAGAAATACTGCAGAAATACAAACAAGGCAAAGAGTTCATCATGCTTAGCTCGCTGTATCACGATAGTGGCGCATACGAAAACCCATTAGGGCCTGCAAAAGAAGGTACAAGAAAGGGTAAACCGTGTACCCCATGTTCTCCTGCACCGGAGCGTATCGACTGGAAGAATTCTTGTCCTACCCACTACCCAGTCAAATAGTAAGAAGTGCTGGAAGATTGTGCAAGAAACGCCTCGGTTGGAAGCAAAGCGAGCCAAACTTGGGGTGGGCGGATCTCAAGAGTACAGAATACCTCCTTGCAAACTAAATGATGGCAGCCAAAGCCGTCGCATCTTAGATCACGCCGAGCACCAACGATCAAGCATCTACGCTGGGTCTGAGTACGGTGCAGCTGAATCGTAACACGCCGCTTCCGGCGGCCTCTTCGCGCCTGACGAAGGGAAGGGGACCCATATTCAGAGCCTTGTCACTCAACACGTCTTCATCAACGCCGAGCTCACCAAGATCGACCGGGCCTTTCCTTCGACCCTCCAGTTCCCACAGATGGCCATCTTTGCCCTTGACGAAAGCAATGAAAGCGTGGCCGGGATCCTCGCCCAAAGGTGGAGCCGATGTGTCGCCTGTCTGTGCTGCCGCAGCGTGCGCTACCCCTATCACTTCAGAGTCGTGCAGGAAACGGGCTCTCTCGGCTGGTCGAAGTGGCATGGCTTCTTTCAAGAAAGTGTCGAGGTCGCTGTCGGGTCGGATCAGGTCGGCCGCAGGACCATTAGTAATGCAATGTAACAGGCCGATGAGACCACAAGCATGGCGGATGGTTTGGTGGTAGAACATGACTGGCTCATCAGGCCCGGCACCCTGGTAGTCTGGTTCTGCCTCGTTTACTCTGGTGTAGAATGCCTCGCTGTCATCGGTGCATGGATAGATGAACAGAAGGGCATGTGCAGGTCTTGGGAGGATTTCAATCAGATCCTGATCGGTCAGACTGTATACGTCTTGAAAAGCGAGAGTCGGAGAGAGTCCGAGTTTATGTGCTAGTTTGGTCATGACCTCGGGGTTGTTCTCTATCGAGGGCAGTTAGCAGCTGACAGTTTGGCATTTAGCCTTTCGTGCATCTATCTTACCGAGGGGAATGTAAGTCTTTTGAGACATGCTGAGGGCGCTTTGCTGCGAGCATGCGTAGTACAGTGGACGGTATGAAAGCCATTCCACGAACCGTTCAAGATGAGCCAGACAAGTCACGTATACGTATGGCTGACGGTTGCCTGCTTGCAACAGTGGTAAGTCTGGGGTGACCACAGGGCGGCGTTGCCCTCGTCCTTAACGGGGCGAGCCGCGATAAGACAAGGCAAATTGACGCCGCCCTAACCCCGTTTGCTACTGGTAAGACCGAGTCCAAATGCTCCTCCGTATATCAAGCACCCCTCCCATTATCAGCCATGTCGTCAAATGTCCGGCCGCCGGTGAATTGTACAGCTACAGATCACAGATAGTGGCGTCCGGCGAGCAATTTCACCGGTACATGTAGTAGATCGAACTGATGTTGTTCATGCGGAGGTTGCGGGCTCGATGAACGGTCATTTCGATGGTCTCGGCCTTGGCCAGTCCAGTCTTTCGCACTCCTGGTCACGGCTCTAGAGGGCGATCAATGTTCGTCGGTCCCAATGATTCCTGCAAAGGCTCCTGTTTCTCTGGAGTACTGTAATTGACAGCCAGGCCAGATGGAAACTTGAACACATGCAACCGAAAGAAAAGGAAGAGCCCACTACTCCGTGCACTCTTTTATTACTGAGTATATCTTTGCGAGGCCGCTGTCACCCGGTCGAATTGCAATAGCAAGCACCTTGGCGGATTTGACTTGCTCTCCTCGTCGCGCCGGTGGTCTGCATCAATCGAGTTTGAAGAGAATATGGGCTCAATGGCAGAGATTCGTCCCGAACGGACGGTGATTGGGGGATCTCTCGAGATCTCTCGCATGGTGAATGGTCTTTGGCAACTTGCCGGTGGCCATGACCGGGACATCAGTATTGCTAAGGCTGCCCAGGTGATGGACGACACGTAAGTGTTGATGTTCTTTTTCTTGTTTCGGGACACGAAGTACAGAGCGGTGGCTAATCTGATTGCGGCAGATGTTTGTGCGGGCTAGATACGTTTGATATGGCCGATCACTACGGAGATGCTGGTTCGTGGAGGCTCGCCGTCGAGTCAAGTCACTTCCCTCTCGAGAGAGAAATGTCACGAGGCTGATGATCACTAACCACTGTCTTCAGAACTGGTGGTTGGACACCATAATGCCACGTCAACGACGAGAAAGGTGGCCTTTACGAAATGGTGCCCCCAGGAGAACGGCATCAAGACCTTTGCAAATGCCGAGGCTGCCGTCGACCTCGCATCGCGACGGATGGGTGTGAAGAAGATAGATCTGCTGCAATGTACGGGTACCTCCATTCATGTCTGCTGATTGTCAAACTGACTGGTGGCTCAGATCATGCCTGGGATTTCACCGACGACACATATCTCCACAATCTCGACCATCTACGCACCATGCAGAGGCAGGGTAAGATCGGACTCATCGGGCTGACAAACACCAACACCGCACATCTGGAATTGCTTCTGGACTCGGGATTCCCCATCGCCACGAATCAAGTGCCGACCAACGTGATTGATCGACGCTTAACCCGCGGCAGAATGAACGAGGTCTGCATCAAGCACGACGTCGGCATCCTGGCGTACGGAACTTTGCTCGGCGGCTTCCTCACCGACAAATGGCTGGGACAGCCTGAACCCGCCGACATCAACGAGCTGAACTGGAGTCTACGAAAATACATCCGATTCATCTGGGCCGCTGGTGGGTGGGCACCGTTCCAAGTGGTTCTCCAGGCCCTCGCCGTTGTTGCACGCAGACATGACGTGTCAATCGCTGCAGTCGCAACTCGATTCGTGCTCGATATCCCTTCTGTCAAAGCAGTCATTGTCGGCACGCGGCTGTCTGCCGACTCGGAGGCCTACATTGCCAAGAACTTGCAGGCATTCTCCTTCAAGCTGACGGAAGACGACATAATCCTCATCCACCAAGCCCAAGAAGGCCTGACAGATGTTCCTGGCGACTGCGGCGACGAATACCGACGACCACCATACTTGACTGCTGCCGGTGACATGAGCGACCATTTGCTGGAGACCGACCGGATGACGCTGGTGCGTGAAGCCGTTGCAGCGGGAAAGCGGGTGGAATACTCGACCGGTAGCAAGTGGGAGCCAATTGCTGTAAGTGTGCTCCTTCTTCTTTGAATTCTTTCTTTTCAGGCATCATGTTGTATCGTAAGCGAGCCTGCACCAACCGAGCTCCATTGACTAACACCACTCTGATTACCACAGGGCTACTGCCGTGCCGTGCGTACGGGCAATACCATCCGAGTTTCCGGCACAACCTCAAACTCACCCATTCCTAGCCTCGCCGTCATCGGCGGCTCCAGCGCACAGAGCCAGACGGTGCACATTTTGGACACTATTGAGGGCGCACTGAAGGCGCTGGGCTCGTCACTGTCCGATGTCGTGCGCACCCGCATCATGGTCCGCGACGCGGATTTTTGCGAGGAGGTGAGCCGCGCGCACGGTTGGCTGTTTGCACATGCTGGTGTAAGGCCGTCAAACACGTTTGTCACGGCTGGATTGATTGGAGAGCACATGCTGGTCGAGATCGAGGCAGAGGCCGAGGTTGGCTGCTCATCTGAAGGTGTTGTCACGGTGATGAAGTCTTAAGTCCCCTTCGAGTGTGCGGGGCAAAGCCGGACTGTTTTGCTGTTTTGCATCGCTGTCAGAGGTTGGGTTTAGCTTGCCGACATTAATTGGTCGCTGAAGAGTATTGTCCCTTCAGGATGTTCCATTAAGTCCAGGCACGAAAAAGCTAGTGTTAATATCGAATCCCGCATTCATGAACATGGCTGTCCAGCCTTCATTGTCGGCAAATGTCCAATCATGAGGCATAGTGTCGACTAAGTCACTGTACATTGGGCTATTGTCGTCAACTCCTGGAACAACTTCGTTCACGTTGTCTATTGGCAGTGATGACGAAGGGGTCATCGGATCAGGAGCTTGCATAGGTGAATCTGACACACGCTGCGGCTGGTCTTCTGCCTGGTTGCCACCTTGGTCTTTTCTCAAATATTCCAGAGGAGCGGCCGAAGAAGGAAACTGTAGTGCTTTCGTCGTTGAAGGTAAATTTTCTTCGGCAGTTGGACTCGATTGCAGATGACGTGCACTGCTTTTCAGTCGATTGTTCACCGATCGCCACCGGCAAGCCTTTTGGTACTCACGCAAGACATTCTTAAGGAAAGTGGCTTGAAGTGCGCATGCGAAAGTGGGAGGCGTGTTTTGTTGGGCAAACACGCGGGCCGCGAGTTCGATTGTCGTGATGACTGTTGGCTCAAACTCCTGACGGACGGCTTTGTTGACGCAGAGAAGGAGCTAAAGCATAGACCCAAGACGTTAACCGGTATGTTGCATGAAAAGCCAGTCTGGACGAGGAAGAATGTGGCCAGAATGGGGCTGATTGACAGGACTCACTTTGGTCAGGAACACTGCTGCATAAGCAGTCATGGCATGAACGGAGTCGTGAGCGAAGCTCAGCAGCGGAGAGAGAGATGGATGAGAAACGAGGTTCAGCATTTCCAAGGCGCTGGTGTACGTGATCCAGAAAGCCTCGGTGTCAACCAACGACGCCCCTATAGGAGACGAGATAGAAGCTTGTAGCTGAAACGAATAGAGTAAAAGAAGTAGATGGGTACCGAAGAAGGAAACCAGAAATGAGGAACAACGTTCTGTTGGTATTCGCCGTCAGTCATTTTGCCTGTGTGTCTTGAGGGGGGAGAGAATGCCTTACCTTCACCCTTTTCTGACGTAACACGAAGCCAATGTTTCCTCCATGCGTCTATTTGAGGGGTGAGTGACTTTAGCAGAGCGTCGAAGCGGTAGGGGTGAGCCATAGAGGGAGCGGGCCTTTGGGGACTGAACGCTTCGAGGATGTCGGCAGACGCGATTCGCAAGGAAACAAAAGCAGCTAGCGTTGCGTCGTCGGCGGTGGCGAAGGAACTTTTGTACCATGTATTGACAGACTCGATAAAATCGCTCCTCTCGATCATCCAAGGCTTGCCAGTTTGCAGGCTCATACTAGTATCGCGGTGGTTAGCACAAAATGGATGTCAAGATAGTACACCACCGCTCTGTACCTTCTGTCATACACAAAGAATACCAGCCACAACCGTTCGATGTTGCGCTTTTGCCGAATCTCCAGCTTCGAAGTTGTCGGGTTGGTCTCGTCATCGCTGATAGGCAACTTGTGCAAGCCCAGCTCCATGCATAGCCTTATCGCATAGCCAATGATGGACCAGGACCGAGCATCGTCTGGCTGTTTCCAGTATGTGGTCAGCAAGATTGCCTGGATGATCTCGGGCGATTTACTGCCTCGCGCGAAGCAATCGATGAACAACTTCTCCGAGTATGCGTGGAGCTCGAGATGTAGTGCAGGATTGAACGCTTTCGCCGACACTGCGAGTATGACGGTCAAGAGAAACGATGAGCGCTCTTGCACATATTGGAAGGTGTGCAACACCGGGTCCAAGACACAAATAAAAGGATTGAAGCTCTTCATGAAGCTACAGAGTGTCAGCATGGCGAGACTTGGTGTAACCGGCCTCGGCGAACAGAACCTACCCTTCAAACAACGATGTAGCAATATGGTACGGAACAACACCTTTTCTGACCGGGTCGTCTTCAATGATGGGCGCAGCGGCTTTGGCCTTGTCCAGGTGCATACCATGGCCAATGCTCAAGATGTTCTGAAGAGAGTATTTACCCTTCATTGCTCGCCTATTTAGCAAGCCGGATGGCTGCAGCCCCTCTGACTCAGCCCAGAAGTCGGTATCACCATCATTGTCATTGGGATTGTCATGCGACGATGGACGGTTCTCAGACGGGCCAGCGTGCGATGGCAACTCGTTTGTCCTTTCCAGCTCGCTTTCCAGCTCGCTTTCCAGCTCGGCGGTGGGCAGACTCTCGTTCGACCCGGCCGCAGGAGTTTCTTGCCCGTCTGCGTCTGCGTCTGCGTCTGCATCTGTTGCCATGGTCGAGTCGGTCCTATGATGCCTAGCCACGCAATTGAGCTTGAGCCGAGTCGGGTGTCTGGGCCTGGGCTTGTCTCACCTTGTAGGCTTTCGACCTCTCTTTTGCTGAAAAAAGACGCACTCGGCGGATTTCCGGGTGCAACGCTCGCAGGTTGCGCTCCCAGCAATGGGGCGACACTTCATTTTCACCTTGCGACATTGTGTACACGCTTTTCCGCTGCATGTTGGGCGTGATCAGCACACAGTCCACAGTCCAGTCTTCAGTCTTTCGAGAACGATAATATGGGCTGGCTGGCATACCTGGCCGGCTTCCTAGCCGGCTTCATACTGTAGCCCTTGCAAGGCCTTAGGAGCCTCCGCCGATGCCCTGCATCCGCAGTCTGGAGCCTGCAGCCTGCAGCCTGCAGCGATCCCTCGCTCACGTGGTTGGATCACGTGGCAGCTCTGACGTCCGCTGCAGGGAATATTTGATATCGTTCGCTATTGTACGGACGTCGGATACTATTCTTTTGTCTGAGTCAATGGCCGACTCCTACCACAAGAACCGGCACAATGGACAGAAGACAAGCAGGACGGAAAGATGAGATGGGCGGGCCCCTTTGCCTCTCCTTGCGAAAATGTCCGGCGATAGAGCTCAGGCCTTTATCTATTTCACCGGCACCTGATTAGTACCCGCAATGCTAAATCAGTTTAATCGACCACTTCAATCGTTTTGGCCTTGCGATTCAATACGTGGTTGGCTGATTCGTTTATCATGACCCTCCCCTTAATTGGGATATACCAGGCTACCACCAGTCATCTGCGATGTTGAAGGCCCGGCGAATATACGGATATGGCCGGTAGCAAGGCGGATACACTGGTAGGTGATTGATTCCTCAGGTTGATTGAGCATCCCGAGATACTGGTTGGGGGCATCCAGACCATCCTCGCCTGATAGACGACCTAGACCAACCTCTGCTCGGCGTGCAGATACTGTATAACAGACGGTTGGTTTCCACCGTGTCCTCGTCGGATGTTCAATCACCTCGTTTGCACTCAAGACAGCTGAAAAGAAACCGAAACCGAAGCCGAAACCATGATCACCACCGATCCGGCCACCAAGATGGTCAAGGTGGACGAGTCCGCTCGCTCTGAGGATACCGAGAATGGGTCAATTGTGCATGCTCCTCACCAGATGAAGAGACACCTCTCGCGGCGCCACATCAACATGATCGGTCTGGCAGGAATGATTGTAAGCCATGCAGGATCCTGCGAAGCTAGCTACTGCGTCTAGGACCACTGCTAACTGCGTCGTGCGTCGTGCGCAGGGCACTGGCTTGTTTCTTGCATCAGGCTCTGCTCTCGCCGTGGCAGGTCCTCTCGGCGCACTCCTGGGATACCTCCTGATGAGTGCCCTCACCGCGTCGGTGTCCTTGAGCTTGGGAGAGATTTCGGCCTTCATGCCGGTCACTGGTGGCTTTGTGCGACACGCTTCCAAGTTCATCCAGCCGGCCATCGGAGCGGCTACAGGCTGGAACTACTGGTATCTGATGGCTATCACGGGTCCGGCCGAGCTCAGCGCTGCCGCAACGCTCATCAACTTCTGGCACCCAGGCGTCAACGCGGCAGTGTGGTACACCGTCTTCATCATCCCCATCGTGCTCATGAGTTACTGCGGGGTTCGAGTCTATGGCGAATCCGAGGTGTTTTTTTCCATCATCAAGATCATACTCATCATAGGACTCATTATCGGCGGCCTCGTCGTCGATTTGGGCGGCTCCCCCACCCATGATAGGATCGGCTTCAGGTACTGGAAGGACCCCGGCCCATTCAACGCCCACCTGGTCCCCGGCAATACTGGGAAGTTCTTGGGTTTCCTGAGCACCCTGATCTCGGCGGCCTACGCATTCTGCAATATCCAGGTGGTGGCGTTGACGGGTGCCGAGACTAAGAACCCACGGAAGCTCATTCCGGAGGCCATGAAGATGACATTCTGGCGGATCATCCTCTTCTATGTCCTCAGCATCTTCATCGTTGGCATGCTTGTGTAAGCCTGTTCCCGTATCATCATTGTCTCACCGTTCACGACCGAGCGGCATTCGCAATGATCCTTAAGCTGACCATCTCACACTGCAGACCCTATAACGACCCGAATCTTGGGAATTCGAGCGGCACAGCACAGCAGAGCCCCTTTGTCATCGCATTCGAGAAAGTCGGCATCCGAGTCCTTCCATCCGTCATCAACGCCGCACTCATCACCTCGGCGTTCAGCTGCGGCGCGGCGGTCACGTTCCTCGCCTCGCGTGTCCTATACGGGCTCGCAGAGGAAGGCCAAGCGCCCCGAGCACTTCTCAAGATCAATCGCTTCGGCGCGCCTTACGTCGCCGTGTCCGCCTCCGTTCTCTTCCTGCCTTTGGTGTACCTCAGCTTGGGCAGCAACTCGTCCGTGGTGTTCGGGTGGTTTGTCAATATTGCCACCGTGGCCGCCCTGATCGCCTGGCTCATCATGCAAATCACATATCTGCGCTTCTTCTACGCGATGAAGGTCCAGGGTATTAGTCGAGATCGTAAGTGGATATCAGTCCCTTGGATTGATCGGTTCACCACCGAGCTAACCATACTAATGTCTTCATGACCGAGCTAACCATATCAATGTCTCCAGGTCTACCATATAAGAGCCCCTTCCAGCCATATATGGCCTGGACGACAATGTCTGTGCTGGCCATCATCATTCTCATCTCAGGCTACAGCGTCTTCATCCACGGCAACTGGAATACGAATAACTTCCTGGTCTCGTACATCGGCATTCCCATCTTCTTAGGTACTTTACCCGCCCTCGCTGTACCCTCGATCATCTCAATACAACTTTTGGACTAATGACATGGCTTTGCAGTTCTTTGGCTCGGCGCCTGGCTTTTCATCAACCGGGCTGCCATCCCCCCGCTGAGGGATGTTGATTTGTCAGAAATGCAGATCATTGAGAGGGAAAGGGAGGTGCAGCCGGAGGAGAAGGCGTTGCCGTGGTATAGAGTTCTGATCTGAGTCATGTTTCGGGGAGTCAAGTTCTATCTGAGCCATGTTTCGGGGAATTGAGTTCTGATCCGAGCCCTCTTTCCTTTCGGGGAGTTGAGTTTCCTTGTGGTTCTAGATCGACTTTTGTGTGCACGCCATCGCATCGTCGCAAGAAGCCTTCCCAGAGGTCAAGCCCACTACGTCGGTAACGCATAGATAATCGAACAGACTGCTTCTAAGCTTGTACCTCTTATATGTAGGCTGCATCGAAACGCAGAATGAATAATAATGCGACAGGAACAGTGTGTTTCTGTCAAACTTGGGTACTAACTTAGGTATTCCCAGCCTTGCCCTTCAACTAGAAGGCTGGTATAGGCATACTATCTAGTCTGGGCTCCCCATACCCCTTCGATAGCGAATATGGAACCCTTCAACCTTTGACAGTTTCATCTACATTTGCAAGAGCATCTTCAGGGATTTGACAGAGTATTGCTCAGCCAAGTATATTGCTCAGCCAAGTATTCGTATATGTCATGCATTTCTACTCGTATGGAACCTCCTTTCCAGTCACCTACTCTCGCTGGATATTCACGCCTTGAGCGTGCAGATCTCTCCTTGAAGGATACGACAGTGTTCCAGGGCCGTGTACATACGTGCGTGTATAAGATTTCCAATCTAGGATGTCAGAGGTCTCAAACCAGGACCCCTTTTGAAAGACAAGTCTGTCAAAGGAAGCTCACGGCGGATGAAACATAGGTAGGTAGGTAGGTAGGTAGGTAGGTAGGTAGGAGGGACCCGTGCCTACATGTAGTATTACTAGGAGGCCTCTGAGAGATTCTTGAATTGTCAAGCACGTTTGTGTTTGTGTTTGTTGCGCGCATCAAAGAACTAATTAGTTGAGGCCTGCGGAAAGATACCCGGTACTTCACCTGCTGGGCTCTACTCTGTACTCCGTACAGCTGCGTTTGATGGGCATGGCAAGACGTTGGATCTCTGGGGAAGGGTTCGATCAAGACTGTTTTCATTACATGCATTGACGTCCGGACTCGCCAACCAGACGGAATACAAACTGACACCAACAGTGTATCAAATACACAAAAGCACCCAAAAGGAAATGGTGGAGGGCACCCGGTACTCAAACCGCGTCTGGGATTTCAATCAGACTATTCCTCCTGGCGGCCATCACGGTGGTACCGTGGTCAAAACTCCATTTTCGTCTGCGAGCGTTCGCCAGCCTGTATTTCCTTGGTGAGACACCCATCACTTCCAGGATGGCAGAAGCGACGTGGCCTGCGAATTGCTCGTCGTTGATATTCAGTAGATGCTTCTCAATCTCGATCCCCGACCCCTCGAGTCCCTCTTCAATGCTTTCGAACAAGGCATTGTCGGCATCAGGGTCATGGAACGGCTTGCCTGGTGCATCAAGCATACTGACCCCACCCAGGGGGAGAAGCACCCGAATCACACTTGGATTGGTGGTGTGAGTGGTAAGCTTGGAGGCGATGAACTGTCCTATCTGTCTGTTTTCTTCCGGCGTCGTCCGCATCAGTGTCACTGACGGGTTGTGTGCAATCAATTTCCGATCCTTGCATTTCTCCGGCACCGCGTCTCTGGGTCCAAAATTGACCATGTCGCATGCTCCGACCGAGACGACCAGAGGAATTCCCATCTTGGCAGCCACCTCCAACCGGCCTGGACCAGCAGAGAGCACCCCGCCAAATAGCTCATCGGGAATCTCGGTGGTGGTCAGATCGATCACAGCGTCGATCTGTCGCTCGGCAATAAGTCGCTCCATGGCACGCCCGCCCGCACCGGTTGCATGGAAGACATAGATCTCATACTCAGACACGTCATGTGGAGTGGATGTTAAGATGCGACGGACCTGGTCGACGCAGGGGGTAGTGTTCCCAAACATGGTGATGGCGATCCGTTTGTCTTTCACCTCGGACTTCGAGGGGTCAAGCAGAGACTTTGAATAAGACAAAGTCATGGCAGCAATTGCCGCAGCCGCGTTGGACAAGATCCGCTTGAGAATGGAGTTGACGCCCGCAATATCGACCACACTATACATCATGGTGATGTCTGTCTCTTCGATGTAGTGCTTGATATCCCCACTGGCCATTGTCGATACCATGAGTTTGGGGAAGCCGACGGGACATGCTTTGCGCATTAACGCTGTGGCCAGCGAGGACGCACTGCTCCCACCGGCGGACACAATTCCCTGGATCTGGGACTTGGAGACCAAGTCCTGGACATCTGGCAGACATATCTCAATAGCCTTGTCAATGTACTCGCCCCGCGGCAGTGTCTTCAAAGCCGAGCTCTGATCAAGGAGGGGTGAGACGATCTCAGCTGAGGGGATGTCGCCCAACGCTGGAGACTTGGCTGGGGTATGGCTTATGTCCAGAATCTTGGTTTGATAGTAAGCCCCTTGGGCAAGAATCTGGGCGCGCAGATAGAGGATTTCATCGAGCTTGGTGTCGGTGGTGCCGACAATGAGAATGGTAGGGTTTGACATGATGGATCAACAGCAACGACGGGAGCAGTAAGGTAGTGGAGGAGATGTAAGCGGATAGCTGTCCAACATCGAGAGACTCACAGACTGCATTGCAAAGCTGTCTGAGGCTTTAACAAACGAATGGGAGCAGGAATGCGTCGCTGTGTGCGTTGGTAAATGAGGTGAGCTGCCCCTCCTTCTTCTACGTAGGGCTTCCCTGAATTCCTGGTGTTACAGAACTTTTGATTATTGCTGCATGTTGAGGGTGCTCGACCTCATCCCCGCAGTTCTCCACGCCATAGGCTTAGGGGCCTAGGGGTCTTAGGAGCCTTAGCCTTTAGGGGCCTTAGCCTTTAGGGGCCTTAGGCTTGGCCTCTAAGCCTACTCTGCACCCGCAGCTTGCACTTTGCGGGTACAGATTATGTACTCCGTACTACTAGTAGCACCAGTAGCTTCTTAGCTGTGGGCGTCGGATCAGACGATGACGTGGATCAGATCTGACCCGACACGATGTTGGAATCTTTACAGTAGCATCCTATCCTAAACATCAGATTTTGAATGGTGCCTAAGGCTTTACTTCTTCCTCTCACTCATTGTCCACCGCCAACTGCGGCCATGCCTCCTCCATCCACTCGAGCAGAGGTCCTCTCGCACCTCCACGAGCAGATCAAGAATGGGAAGCCCATCGTTGGGGCAGGGGCTGGGACTGGTCTCTCAGCCAAGTTCATCGAGGCTGGCGGCGCCGACCTGATCATTATCTACAATTCTGGGCGATTCCGCATGGCTGGTCGAGGCTCTCTCGCCGGCCTCATGCCTTACGGTGATGCCAATGCGGTGGTCGTCGACATGGCCAGAGAAGTGCTTCCGATCGTCCAGAAAACGGGCGTCCTGGCCGGAGTGTGTGGGACCGACCCATTTCGAATCATCCCCCGATTCCTCGAACAGTTGAAAGGCATGGGGTTTTGCGGAGTCCAGAACTTCCCTACGGTGGGCCTGATTGATGGCACGTTCAGGGCCAATCTCGAAGAGACAGGCATGGGATACGACAAGGAGGTGGAGATGATTGCTGAAGCACATCAGCTAGACCTTCTTACCACCCCCTACGTGTTCAATGTCGACGACGCAGTGAAAATGACTAGGGCGGGTGCGGATGTGATTGTATGCCACATGGGCCTGACAACGTCGGGTAGCATCGGCGCGAAAACGGGCAAGTCACTAGACGAGTGTGTCAAGCTGATCCAAGACATGAGGGACGCTGCCGCCAACATAAACAGAGACATTCTCGTATTGTGTCACGGGGGGCCAATTGCCGAGCCCAAAGACGCCGACTATGTCCTCAGCTGCACGAGAGGGGTACATGGGTTCTTCGGCGCTAGTAGCATGGAAAGATTGCCAGTGGAAATGGCCATCACCAACACGACCAAAGCATTCAAGGATGTGAAAGTCAATCGGTAGTTGGGACACCCAGACCTGTCGAAGAGTGCAAACCCACTTGAGCCCAGCGCCAGCCACGATGAGAAAAGGTCGAGAATCTTGCAGGGCCTATATTGCCGTTCCCGTCATCTAGCCACTCACCCGACCGGTCAGCGAGGATGGCTCCCGTCTCTGGATATGCAGACATCTTGCAGGATCAATCCGAAACAAGATGTCGTGAACCTGCCCCTGCACGAAATTAAGTGGTGGGAATTGGAAAAAGGCCCTCATCCGTCAATACGAGGGCACAGGGAACAGCATCTTGGCAAATGATACCTTGATGAATTACTCCACCAAACAGAGCTCGCCAACATTGTAGGACAATGAAGAAGAGTCCCCAGTCTACAAATATGGTCGAAGAACTTCCTGTGTATGGTCCCAAATCTTTCCCTGCGCCTTCTCTCGAAGCACAGCTATGACCTTCGCGTTCAGCGTGCAGTCGCATTTGGAGTTGACGAGAAAGAGTCCATTCGCCGGCTTCCCCAGCGAATTAATCCCTGGCTTGCCGTGCCATGGCACGCCACGACCGCCAAAAGCAGCGCTGGTACATTCGAACAAATGCCTCTGTCCCGACACCTCGTCACCAATCGCGAATAGACGAATAAGGGGCTCGAGGACAAGCCAGACAAACCAGGCCATGATCTTCGAATCCGAATCTAAACCCCTGTTTACATTTCCAGTGTTGACCCAGCCGGGCAAGGAGTGAATGAAGGTCACGTTGGGGTTGTTGTTGGCCAGCTTCTCCAGTGTCGTCGTGGTCATGGTCACCGCGAGCGGCTGAGCATTCAAGACGGTAAAATTCCCCGGCTTCTTCAGGTCCAGATCGTCCAAGTCGATGGTTGACCACTCCATCCCACCACCCAAAACGCTGACCACCTTAGGGGCTTCCGCCTCGCCTAGAAGGGGGAGGAGATGTAGGATGAACAGGATTCGCGTGTAGTACTCCAGGCTCTGGGTGACTTCTATGCCCTCGGCAGTCTCCCTGCGTGCGCCGAATGGTGCGTAGCCAGTGGTCAGAAACAGCAAGTCGACGCGTGACTCCTTGCTTTTGATGGTCTCGCATACTCTTTTTGTTTCCGCCAAAAGCGAGACCTCGCCTTGGGTCCAAATGACTTCGGCCTTGGGGTTGAGGGCGTGAAGCTCGTGGATGAAAGCATGGGTGCGCTCTTCAGAACTCTTGCGCCCGACCAGGTAGATTCGCACGCTCGCACCCGTAGCGACCAAGGCTTTGACCGTGAGCTTTCCGATACCGGAGGTACCGCCAACGAAGACAGCCACGCGTGGGGCGGTGACATCGTTAATGAGTGCGTTGGAGGCTTGGATTTCCTTGTCAGAGACCATTGTAGGCGTACGCGGCGAAAGACAGTAAAGGAGGGGGGTTTCTTCCTGTTCCCAATCTCTGACTTATAAAGGATTCGAGGAACAGGGACGCGATAAGTGACAGACCGATGTCTATTAGAATATCGAAAGAAAGTTGGAATGTGTTTGCTAAGGGAAGCATTCCTCCGAATTGTACTGATGATATTCGCTGGTGCCTAGTTATTGAAACGCCTACGCCTACTGATGCGTACTCCATACTACGTGAAAACCCACCTCTAGAATAAGGCCAGCTGCTCTGTCTATCTCACTTCGAGCTCCTTTGCACAACTGACTCTCATACATTATCATATAAGGGATGTATGCTCCTATTGCCACCATAACCCGTGAGGCACATCAGCTCAGGCGCACCGATAACGCTCCGGCGTCAACACCAACCCTGCCCCTCGAATAATGGTCTTAAGTTGATTGACATGCACTTGTGTGTGCCATTCACTCGGGCCCTGGCAAGACTTGGACTTCGACATAGGAGCAGCGCCCAATGCAGGTCTCAGAGTTGGGATGCGACTATTCGTACAGCAGCCAGCCTTGTCCTGGTCAATACGAGGTGGGAGATTAGATCCAGGGGGCCGAGTTTCGCTACAGTGTCTCGAGTGCCGCTTCCAGATGTGGCCATCACCTTCAGCCTCATGCAGGGCGCTGGGATGCCCCTGGGTATGGGCGATGCTTCAGACTGACCCCTGGTTGTTGTTGCTGCTCCACCCCTACTGTGACCAGCATCTGGCCAGCAGTTCGTCCTCCTGACAGCTCAGCTCTTGCTTGTTACTTCTCATTCACTCCTCGCTAGTGATCGCAGAGATGATCTTTTTGGTCAGCCCTGTGCCACCGGCGACTTCTGGGCCCTGGAAAAACGAAGATTAGCGAGGGATTGTCGGTCTAATCTTACCCTTGCTTCCTGTTGGCTTGTTGGTCTCGTCTCGTGTCTTCTGCCCTATACTACACATACACTACGGTACGTGACCATCCCGGGTGAATCTGGCGAATTCCGACCCGAAGTCGTCCTCCCCTCTCTGAGTCCCCAGGCTGGATCCTTGCCATCTAGAGATCTAAGAAAGCATTCGTCTGGCCTTGGCCCTGGCCATGACCATGCGTCCATTCGCTCCATTCGCTGCCAGATGGAAATGTTGACCATGTGCCCCTGGTACCCATGTGCTGGTCTGGACTCTGGGGGTCGCACTAATTCATTCAGCTCTTGGAAAACCGCTATGGCGACGTATTCGGATTGATTCCTACAGTGCGCCTCTCCTCTCGATGTGGCCGCGGGGCTGTCTCCAGGGTCTATGTGCGATGGGATGGAATTTGTCTATATATGACTGCGCTCCCCTCCAGGTCTGGCCATGCTCTGCTCTGCTGTTGCTTCAATCGGCTGCCCTAAGTCACTCTCAATCAGTCCAGCTGCCCCAAGTCACTCTCATTCATTCCAGCTGCTCATTCCACCCGTTCATTCTCATTCTCACATACCTTGATATCTGGTACTAGCATACCGTCAGCATGTTGTTCACCAAGCCAGCCTTAGCCTTGGGCAGTGCCCCCCTGGTCCTCCTCGTGTCTGCGCAAGAACCAGTGGATGCTGTCCACCACCCCTTGATTCCCGCTCTCTCCAAAGTCCCTGCGGTCACGACCAATCTCATGCCGCGATCTCTGGACAAGCGATGTTCGGGAAGCTGTGAAGAATGCTTCGGCACCGGCTACATTCTCTGCCCAGACAGCAGCCTGTATTGCTATCTCCCAGGAGATTCCTACTACGGCCTTGACTCTTGCCCGGGCTCCAGCGACTCCAGCGCCTCTGCCGGTGCCACAAGCGCTGCGAGTGCAACTGTCCCGGCGGCGTCTGCCACGTCGATCAGCGGAATAGATGACATTTGCTCCCAGGTTGGTGCCACTTGCAAGTCCTGCTTTGGACCAACCTACCTCGAATGCCCAGACGGTTACCACTGTTACGACCCGAACGACCCTAACTACAACACATGCCCCGACGATGGCAGCAGCAGCTCTAACTCGACGGGGTCTACATGCGAGGACCAGTACGGCGCCGGAAGTCAGCCCTGTGGGACAGATTCTTGCTATAACCCTGGTCAAGGGGATGTCTGTTGTCAAGATGGATGTAAGTCCAAGTCCACATAGACCCTTGCGCTTGCGCTTGCACAGACTAGAGCTAACGAACTGGATTCGACAGATCATTGCGAAGGTGGCGACACTTGCTCAAGCAATGTGGGCAAATGCTGTACTGCTGTATGGGCCCCCAACCAGAACATTCTCATTCTGTCTTTTGCAACTTGCTGACTTGACTTGACTTGCGGCTCTCAGGGCTCAACAGATTCCTCGTGCTCCGGTTCTAGCAGCGGTGGAGGCGGAGGCGGAGGCGCAGCATCATCATCTTCACCTGCCCAGGCTACCACGCCCGCTACATCTGGTGGCGGTGACAGTGGTGGAGGATTGGTACCTGCCGTCGCGACTACCGCGACTAGCCATGGGGTGGTTAGCACTGCTAGTCCCCTTAGCGATGCGAGCCCCATGGGGCGCGGCAAAGCCAAAGCTCTGGTGATGGCGGTAGGTGTGGGAGCTTTAGTCTTGTGAGTTCAACTGGTGGTAATGGTAATGGATAATGGGAGGTGGGACGGAGAAGGCTCGATACGAAGAGTTGACATGTGTTGGATTGTGACAGTATATCGTCAGGGAATTGGAATTGGAATTGGATGCTTTTCGTGGCCTCGGCTCCTTGCGCATATTGTAGCCTCGCTCGTAATGATATGGATATATCTATTGCCCGAAGATCCAGAGTCTCCTGGATGGGATGTGAAAATACGCATTATGCACCACAATAACCACGCATAATGGGATCGAGGTGGTTGTGGTTGGTCAAATAGGCACAAGGCTGAGGCTGAGGCTGAGGCTGAGATCCGTTCCAGCAGGGATCAGGTACCATCTAACCAAGACCAGGCCTGATATCTATTGACTCGGGATGCTTAGACCTGGCTGACCTCTGTATCGATTTATAGAGCACTCATTGGTGCCTCCAACCCAGCACCCAGTACATAGGTCCTATAGCAGTTCGTCAGGTCAGTTAATACTGCCAGTGGTAGAGTAACTCGGCTCTTCCTCGGCTTATTGCCCAAAGGGCGTGGACTCAGGGGCGTGTCTATGACAGCGACATTTTATGGCAATATTGGCATTGACATACCCTACATACTGTGTAGACATTCCTCTCCTCCCCTCTTGTTTCTCGAACCATGCTCCTCATATGTCCAAACCGCTTATGCGCATCCCCTACACAGGGCCTCTCCCGCCTCCGTTGATCATCCCACCATCGGCAGCGACCAAACACGGCGCCATCGCCGCGCTCGCCCACTTCTTGACCTCCAAATCTCCTGCTCCGACGACGACCAACTCCGCCGACGGTTCTTCTTCCCACAGTCATGGCACCAAAGACAAAGATGGATCTGGGGCGGATTTGCCAGAGCCAGGGCCGTCTCTACCAAAGAATACAAATACAAGCAAAACCGTGCTGTTGACCGGCGCAGGCATCAGCGTGGCATCCGGTCTGGCCGACTACCGCGGCGAAAAAGGCACGTACACCCAAAACAAGAGCTACCGGCCCATCTACTTCCACGAGTTCGTGGCCAGCCACGAGGCACGCAAACGGTACTGGGCGCGGTCGTTTCTGGGCTGGCGAGGTCTGCACCACGCCTCCCCCAACGCCACACACTATGCGATCCGCGACTTGGGTCGGCTCGGCCTAGTGGACAGTGTCATCACGCAGAACGTCGACTCGTTCCACCCGTTGGCGCACCCGGCTCTGCCTACGATCGAGCTGCACGGCTTTCTGAGGAGTCTGGTGTGCTTGAGCTGCCAGCGGTTGATGGACCGGGAGGCGTTCCAAGCGAGGTTGGCCGCGTTGAATCCCGCTTGGGCCGAATTCTTGCAGGACCTACTCAAATCAGGCGCCCTCGACACCGAGGATCCGTTGGAGCGACGCCGCAAGGGGTTCAGAACCAATCCGGACGGTGACGCTGATGTCCCGGGCGCCCCGTACACCACATTCAGATACCCTGCCTGTCCTCATTGCTTGAAGCGGCCGCCGATTTTGAAAGACGGGTCGAAAGGCCACGTTGACGTCGATGCCGACGGTGCCTGGATTGCGCGGCCCAAGTCATCCACCTCTAGTGGTGGTGGTGGTGATGGTGGCGTTGACAGTGTTGGCATCCTCAAGCCCAATGTCATCATGTTCGGTGAATCCATCCCTTCGGCTATTAAGGCCGCAGCCGAAGCCGCCATTGATGCAGCCGGCAAGATCCTTGTACTGGGCTCGTCGTTGGCGACTTACTCGGCCTGGCGGTTGGTTAAGCGGGCGCACGACCGAGGCATGGGGATTGGTGTCTTGAACTTGGGCGGTGTCCGCAAGGAGGAGGTTTTTTTTGAGGCTTCCCAAGCTGGTCATTCGCATGAGCATGGGCATGGGCATTTGCAGTCACAGTCGCATAGGCATCCGCAGTCGCATGAGCATGAGCAGTCGCATCCGCATCCGCATCTACATACCACAGATTCAGCCTTGATTGTCAACAGAGACGTGGTCCGCGCGAGTTTGCCTACCGAGGAGATTCTGCCCGGTGTTGTGGATTACATTTGCAACCAGAGGGGCCTATGAGGTGTGAGATGGATGTCCTGTCTGAGATACGATGGATGAGAATATGTGTTGTACAAGGCTGAATCATGTCATGATCATTATCAATGTCAATGCCAATATCAATGCCAATGCCATACCAATACCAATATCAAGATCAATGCCATACCAATCAATACTTATACTTATGCTTATGTCCATGTCTATATCTACTCCATGTTCATGTCCTTATATCCTGTGCATGTCAATGTCAATGTCTGTACGGATACTGATACGGATACAGATACTGATACAGATACGGATGCTGTTACTGTAGTGTAGTGTAGTATAGTGTACCTTAGCTAGGTACCTGAGCCGTACAGAGTACAGAGTATAGGTACGGACTATAGGTAGGTACAGGCACGTAGATTACAAGCACGTAGATTCCATTGGTACCTATAAGATGTATCCGTACTGTACGGATACTGCACACTGCATACTACACACTTGCACACTGACTTGACTTGACTGGCTGCGGTATGGTCGCCAACACCGACCTTGACTCTGACTCTGGCGTCTAGCTTCCGAGTCCAAGATCAAGCTCCCATCTTCCCATCTTCCCATCTTTCGTCATCCGTCTTCCCATCTTTCGTCTTCCGTCTTCCCATCTCCCGTCTGGCAGGCAGCTATACCTCTAAAGGGAAAGGGAAGGAGAAAGGGAAAGGGAAAGGGAAAGGGAAAGGGAACGCCCAATATAATACGACACCCAACCACACCATGGGCGAGCGCCTAACCCTAACCCTACCATAGTCCTAGTCCTAGTCCTCGCCCTAGCTAGATCAAACCTCTCAATCAGTTCAAACCTCTTCGATATGCCTTACACCGACGTCACCGGCACTACCAGTACTGTGTCTTCCTCTTCCTCTTCCTCTTCCCCTTTCCACCCCTAATGCGATTGGGTGCCCTTTCTCCTCTTCCTTGTCCTTTTCATTCTCATTCCCTTTCTCTTTCTCTTGGGTCCCTCTCAACCCCATGTCGGCGGTCGCACTCCCACCACCACCTCCAACCCCTCCCCAAGCCGTACTCCGCCGTCTCCCGCCTTCCCTATAGGTACGACCCATACTCAACTCTTGCGCGAACTTACTGCGGTCGCGGAACCATTGGCCCTTCCAGTAGAAAATGTAGATGGGGCCGATGACCACGATGGACAGACAGGCGAGGATGGTGGTGGGGTATTCGAGTTTATATTTGGGGAGGTTTTCGTAGACTAGGGAGAAATTAGATAAGTATAAATAAAAAGACGCGAGTAACATAGACGAGAGACAGACGAAGAGACAGGAGAAGAGATAGACGAAGAGACCAAGACAGGAATTTCCACACGAGGCGAAAAACGAAAACAAGTCTGAATATCATCCTGGTCGCACGTACACGCATACGCGCATACAAGAACAGAATAGAATAGAACAAAACAAAACAAAACCATAAACAGAAACCAACTCCGAGCAAAAATAACAAGAAACGGAACAAAAGCACGCGTGGAACTTATACATAACACGAGTGGTGCGAAACTAGAACTTAACGAACAGACATTCGCACAAGGCTAGTCAACGCTGGGTACCACATTCACATAAGGCTGGTCAACGCCGAGTACCAAGGCCATATAGCCGAGGACAATCTTGAACAGAGCAAAATACAATGTACTTACACGGTGTACTATACAACGCAGCAATGCCGGCGAGAAAGTCCCGCGCGAGATCGTTGCCGCCCGTGGCTGAGGCGGCATAAGGCCCGTACGCGGCGATCATGTAGTCGATAGAACTCTAGATCGGGAAATCATATATAGGTCAGTTTCGAATCAAATATAGGTCAGGTTTGGGGTCATAGTAGTCAGATAGGACAGGGGGAGGCTGACTCCAGAAGATGAGTACGGGACAGGTTGATCCCCAGGAATCAAATATCAGAAAAATACAATAAGGAGGGCTTGTAAATCAAATTGTAACGGCTGGGCTGGCCGGGTTGGGTGCAGAAATGCAAACATGCAGAAACACAGGTGTAGAAATACAGGTGCAGAGACACAGGATTAGAAACACAGGATTAGAAACACAGGATTAGAAACACAGGATTAGAAACACAGGATTAGAAACACAGGATTAGAAACACAGGATTA